CCAAAGGTCTCCATGTATGATTTAGTACAGTGCGTATCAGTTATAGTGTGGTCGTGTAAAAGAATATACTGCCTACAAGAATGAACTCTCATATTTTCATAATCATCTCATTGGTTCCAAGTGAACATTTATTCTGACAAGCAATGTTATCGCATAGTAGAATATATCAGTCGAAAGAATGGACTTTGTGTAGCAAACCATGCCAGATTAGTGCTAAGTATAACGCCTGTAGTAATAACATCTGTCCGTTGCAGTTTTTATCCAACTCGCATTGCATAGTAGTGCTGCAAGTTCAACTGCTGTGGTCAGGTAACTCATGTTGCATAGCCGCATGGTAAGCCTATGGGACTATGAACAGCCACATGCACAGTGGCACTAAGTTACGTTGCATGTACATGTACGGTGGCCTTCCTGCCTTTGCGGACATGCATAACTGTTATGGTGATATGATTGTCACCCTTGATTTGTCGTGCGTAAGAAATATCCGAAATAGGAACAAAAAATCGTTTTCCAACGACCCACACTGTAACCGATACGTACTGTATATTGCGCTGACTACTAGTACATGCATACATGCACAAAATACATGCACGTTAAGTTACGACCTTCCTCCACTCACTCATCCCCTGAACGAAAAATATATTGACTGGAAAGGTAGAATGCATTGATGTTTCAGCTATCAATGTTTTTAAAATGAGACTCCCCTTGACCCACTCAACCACGAATGAAACTTTTTGGTTTCATGTAAAAGACGGCAATTACGGACGGCCCCTTACACAGAGACGACTAACTGAGTCCTTCAGCAAATGTCGTCAATATAGAATGTCCAAACGGACTGCGATGAAACTCATTTTGACTGTGGTAATGCTTACCTTCAAACTGCTTCAGTTGCTTGCCCCCGCGGATAGCTAACATCTTCACGGGTACGTCCAACGTCACTCTGCGATAGGCAGTGATCTCTGTGACGGTGGTGTTCTCGTCGATGAAGCCTGTGTCCTGGAGGTATTGCTTAGTTTCGGGGATGCTGCGATCTCTGTTGGCAGATGCTGCACCGATGCTGACAAAACATGGGTTTTGTCGAATCTCTGTTTCCACATCAGCACCTAGGGTTTCCGTAGCACATAGGATAGGCAATACACAGAAAAAAGAACTCTGCGGGTTGCACCAATGTTCGGGCAGAAATAGACGGAATTCATATTTCCCTTGCTATTCCTCCCTGCATATATCTGATCTGCCAATAGAAAACCAAAGTTCAGGGAGAACGTGCGTGTGCGAGCTGCCCTGCCTGAGGGTCATAGCAGCCAGTCTGACTGGTTCAGCTTTGACAGGACTTCTGTTCAGTCCACCAATGTATTCGTTAGTGAAGGAGGCAAAAAAAACCCCAGAGCATGACCATTGATTTTGCCAATAGCATGACTCCCTACTGTAAGTTGTTGGTCATGCAGAAATCTTGAGTTGGCCAAGCCAAATCTAGAAGGTGTGCTGTGCTATGCACCTGCCTAGGGTCATATAAAAGCCTTGTATCAGTTTACTCTACGTCCGGAAGTCCAGAATGGGGTGGGAAATCTTCAGCATGCCATTCGATAGACGCTTCCCTGTCAACTATGTGAAACACAAGGCACAAAACTGACGCCATCCATACAATGTGGAGTATATCGACCACTTATTAAACGGAAGCGGATCGGGCCAAACGTTTTGAGTTGTCCGTAAACCCAAGCGCAGCCATTGCTCATAGCTCTCTT